CCGTGACGTACGGACATGAATAATATGATGATTGCCAGCTTTATATTCTTGTGAAAAGCCAAAAAAGCAAACAATTGTCTCCAATCTACGAAACTAGTTCGTAAGCTTTCAACTAAATCGTTATATCGTTATCCGGTCTTTTGCTTGTGTCGCGATTTCCGAAATATCCACAACTCGGGGGGGGGGGGGGGTGCCTGTATCGATCAATTTATTCATTATATAATAGTAGGTTGCTTATGATTATATTCGTATTTTTACCTTGCCCGTACCATCAAAGATGGAAGGGAAAGGTATATTAAGGGAAAAATTTTGTCCAGCGTTGTCGTTGTTGTCGTTGTCGTTGTCATTAATAATTGTTATTGTGTGCATAATAACTTTACTAATTCTATTCCAAACTTTATCAAACTTGGTCACCTTATTCATCAGTATAAAGTCTTCCCTGAGTTTGAACAACAGATGTCCTGTATGAAAATATCATGCAAAAATTGAGAAAATCTAATAAAATATTTTAACTGTTTCTACATGTACTTGACTGATCACTGGTGATACACATCAAAGGTCACTGATCTCAGTGGAAATATGCATTGTTGTATGTGTTCAATGAAGCAAATGATTTATCTTGTAATAATATCCTTGGTAATGTATCTCAGAATCCCATACTGGGATTCAAAACCAACTCACGGAGAGATTGCACAGTCTGATACGCATTTGCAAACCTACCAAAAAAATCTTTACATAAAACAAGATGTCAGAAAATCAATATAAGCACTCCTATGAACTGGGTGCCTAACTTTGATCAAGATCTGAAGCTAATAGAAAATCTGTTTAGTTCAAAGTTATCAAATCAAAAACAATACATATAAAATACATTAAAAGCAAAACATTTCATTCACATTTTAAAAAGAAAATTATTCTAAAATATATGTATTCTGTATTCTGTATTTGACAAACAGTTCATTCGACAAATGAAAACTCACAGGAATATGTTTCAGCTATTAGAACAGAATGATAGAGTTTTTATAATACTAGTTTAAAAACGCACTTCAAAGATTGCAGTGTTTGAAGATGTAGATTCTCAGGAGGCAACAGTACTGTTGACTTCTCCCTCCACTGGGCACCAACTAACTATTTAAGTTGATTTGCATACAAAGCAGAGCTTGCAACATGATAGCTATTCATAAAGGTTTTTTTTTTTTACTTTTCATATAATAGAGTAGTCACACAATGAGGCAGTTCATATTTGTCTCAGTCAATCATTAATTTTTGACAGACACCTGTACAAAATACTAGGACTAAAGCCAACTAAAATTTTCTGTTATCTTGCATGTTTTATGAATCTATTCACATCTAAATGCAGCACTTTTTTTTTGCAATGAGACATTTGTTTTTATACTAAAATATCTGAATTACTTTGAATAAAGCTGGAAATTATGTACCTTAAAATAATTAAACAAATAAGGCACCAATGGTTTTGTAACATATTTAAATTTTTTAAGGACATTCGGTAGACTGATTCCCCACTGTTGGTTCAACCCCAAAACTTGTTTGTATTCAAAATTAATTATGACAATGCATATTTATATTGAAACAAACTATGATAAAGGGAATTATATTATATAACAAAGGGCAAGGTCACCAGAGTTCAACTATGTTTTATGTTGTGAGCATTAAACTGTTAGTTGTAATGAAGATTTTGCCGATCTCCTGCGATTCAACATGGCGGATGTACAGTGACAACACGTGTATGGACGGTCGGTCGAGTAGTCTGCAACGGACCATGAAATCGCCCGACGTTTTTTCGGCAGTTTTCTTTTTAATATTTTGAATATTTCATTCACTCCTGACGCCTAAAAGAGTCTAATTTATATTTTACCGTAGTCATCGACACCTACTGTAAAATGACTAATTTTCACTGGGTTTAAATTTCACTGATTTACCATTTCAGGCATAGTCAGTAGGTTTTAAATTCACAGTTTTGTCATTTAGATAATGTGTTCTATGCTAAATTTTACATATTCACTGTGTTTTAATTTAGCGCATTTTTCCAGTCAGCAAAATAAGCTAAATTAAAACCCAGTGAATAATTACCCCCTTTACAGTATCCAAGAGTATGATGTTTATTGTGAATAGCCTGAATGGGTAAGCTTCGTTTCGACAATGAGCTGTTATTTCTGTGAACAATGTTTAATTATTCTTTGAATGCTCGTTTTTTTTTTAAACAACTAATTTTTGGATTAAAAAAAAAATCATGACGTTTTCCCAGTCAAAATAGCATAAAGATTTTGCTACAACATCGGTGAATCTCTACAGTATCACGTTGCGTTCACCACGAGGTCACTGAACCACATTAACATATTTAAATGAGCCACGTGTAAATGGAAACATGGCGGATATTGTATCGTATCGAGCATTCACATTCAACCGAAATCATTCGTTTACGATGAAACTAAGTTGAATATTACTTCAAATTCATAAAAATTCAACGAATTAATTTTTTGTGCGTTATTATAATCATTACTGAA